GAAAACTTAGTTACATGTAACTCGTGAGCAGAGTTAAATCAACCCTTTATTGCATTTGTTATATTACTAAGTTTATTCCATGTGATTGAGTTTTCCCTGCCAGGTAAGTGACGCATTATTTTACAAGTACTTCATCCTAAAATGTACTGTTAGGTACAGTCAGCGCATCACATAAAGAAAACAGTGATTTGAGGTAAGCTATTCATCGAGGACCTATGTATAAGACAAAGTAGAGTGACCCACTTTTGACTATAAGGAAGTAAATTTTCTAAAAATGCATAATGCGTGAGCCTTATCTCTGTTGCACTATACATTTAATAAAGATAAATACTAAATTTTAAAGGGCTAATCAAAAGTATTTCTGATTTTCAGTACTGTAGTTGTGTTACCATTTACAGTCATATCTAAAACCATTAGAAAATAACATTTAGGTAACACGTTTCTTTCAGTAAACATTTATTGAGTAATTTTGTAGTAATAGTTCGATTTGAGAATGTTTTCTTGTTTGCTGTTTGTCTTTGAATTTGATACTTTTGCAGACATTTTAGTTGCATGATTATATGCTATCAAATCTTTTCATATTTATTTTTAATACATTAAAAATGTATTTTATCTGGGGCTGGGAGATAGCTCAGTGGAATAAGTGCTTGCCTGGAAAGCACAAGGTCCTGAGTTCGATCCCTGGTACCACCAAAAAAAAAAAAAAAAAAATGTATTTTACAAAAGGCATTTGCTAAACATGAAGCTTCAGAAAATTATTCTTGTAGCTAACCAGAAAATTTCTTTGCTTAGAAAAGCTATCCTTAAAAAAAAAATACACATTGCCAGTCAAGCGGAAGACCCAATACTATTATGGGCTACTGGACTCTTAGAATATTTTGCTGAGTTCACATACCTATAATATTCAAATAACGGAACTTAACAAAAAAAGGGGGATACAGATGAATGTCCGTTTTGTATCTGTGTATTCAAAGTGGTTAGGATAGATACATAGTTACATTCTCTTAATGAAGAGTGATTTGTTCTAATGGTGTTTGTAAATAGGATATCATGTCTGCATCTTGTACAGCAATTAGCTACTAAGAAGAATGTATGCAGTGTGTTAGTTATTGAAACTGTCCTAGCGATTTGATTTGAAACTCTCATTGCTATCTGTTTATCAATAAAATTATGGGAAAAAAATAAAGCAGTAACCTTGAAGAAATGTGCCAAAAAGCAATACATACAAATCTATCTTCATTTAAATACATGATTTCTTTCAGGTTTTTTTGAAGAAAAAAAAAGTTGAATTATGGTTTCCAGAGCTTTAGGAGCCCCACTTCACTGTAGGTAGCGCTGAGATTCTGCTGGGGTGATGTGCAGTGCCAGTTACAGCCATTTCATGGACTGTGAGTTCTCTCCAGCTTGCCAGTGATGGTGCTGAAACGATAGAGCACCAGGTCCTCCCCACACAGTCGATCCATTCACCACGGGAGATGGCACGGCACCACCACCTCTGCTACCAGAGGGAACACTTCCGACAGTCTGCTCCTGCATATTCATGAGGACCACTGTGTTCGATCTGTTGCACACCACGAAGTGCTGTGGGTTCTTAGGAAGTAGAATCACTGTTGACAGTAAAGTCAGTCCCTACAGTGTTTAAAGATATTTGAATATTCTGTGTTCTTCATATTTCAGATCTTTACAGTGGCATCAGAGGATGCCCTAATATAATATCCATCTTGTGAAAATTTTGCTTCATTAACAAAGGAGGAATGACCACAGAGTTCCTTCAGTGTTTTCCCAGATTTTAAACCATGAATTCTAATTGTTTGGTCAAAGGAGGCAATAAGGAAGTAACTGCTGTCCTTCTAAAAGCTCAGACAGGTGACCCCTTTACTGTGTGCCCTTTCAAATCTCCTTAAACACTGTCCACTCTGAATTTTCCAGACCTTGATTTTTCCATCTTGGGCACCAGTTGCTAACATTTCTGTATCTCTGCTGAAACACATACAGAGAACAGCATCATCCATCATCATGAAGTTATCCTGGGCCTGGTACTTAAGATCCTTCCTGATTTTTCCAGTAGTAAAGTTCCATACTTCA